CCATTTTCCTTCGTGTTTTTCGGAGATGCGCATGAATATTCCTCCTGCTTATTTTCTCATCAGCTCCATTATTCGTCGCGATATGTCTCCGCGTATTGTTATATCGCAAATGCAGATAGAAGAATTTTGTCACAAGGCTGCCAAGAGAAGAATATCTTGGTCGCGACGCAAATTCAAATTACGATTGCGAGTATAAAACTAATAAGGGATCCTTAAATCCTTTCAAAACAAATTGCATATCTTGAAAAATAGAAAGAGGACATTCTACTGTTTTTATTGAAAATAAAACTGTTATTTCTACTGTTTCTATTGAAAATCGATGTAAAATTATCGTAAATAAAAATTTACAATTTAAAAACGCTTTTAGATATCGAGTGAATGACATCGATTGTGTTTTTATCTGCAATTTAGCATAATTAAAATTGATGTTTTAATTCTTTTATAAGGAGTGTCGTCTATTTCAAAAGGATGAATATATATCGCTAAAATAACTTTCCCGGAACAAAGAAAAAGCATTTGTACGGCAGAAGATGTAATCTGCGAGATGTTACCGAGATGCGATTGAGGGAAAAGAAGAGTGCAGAAATTTTCAAGTCAAATGCATTACGAGAATCGATAAACGCGCACGTTTATAGGGAAGTAGCACATCTGTGGGGGTCATCTGTTCCAGATGTACGTACCTTGGGATATTGTGTGTACTACGGATTGAATAACATCGTATACGATAATGGCTTTGCCAAGCCGTGTATCTGGAACGTCGCGCTATCAGTATCGAACACTCGGATTTCTCACGCTATAATCTCCTTGAAACTTCCCAGAAAAAGTGCGAAATCTCACTAATTGCTGAATTTAACATTTCGGTCGCTCTAGAGATTAAAGACGATGATTAAGCTCCAATTTTAACAGCATTTGAGAATTCCAAGCGTGATAAATAAAAAGTCTCTTTACTTTGTAAAAATTTCTAATTAATCTGTAGCAGAAACAATGAATTTATTAGTTTATCTAGAGAAAAAAGAGAGAACGCAAAAGAAATAATCTTCTTTATCGAAATTGTTAATAGATTATTTCTAAAATTCTTAACTCTTTCTCTAACAATATCTAATATTTTAATAATTATTTTTAATAATCGAATTGAAATCTTTAACAAGTACATTTTATATGTAACGACAATGTTTTTTAATTCTCATAAAATTTATAAAAATTTATAAGATTCCATTGTAGGTTGATTCATATTTTCGGTAATTACTGTCATGTTGTTGCTTTCCGTTCTTTCCAGATAATACGATATCGTAATCGCGCGAGCACAACGGCTTGAGGCGCATCGAAATCAAGCGCAACAAGGCGATAGCCAGGACGCTCTCGTCTCGGGTTTGCCTCGGGGATAAAAGCGAGAGAGGATGTTCGCGGTTGGTACACGTTCCGTCATTCCTCCAATTTCCGCCGTTCAACGCGCGATTTTACGAAACGACCGCTTCGCAAAAAACTCCCGACACGAATCCGCACTTTCCTCCAGCCGAGACGGGTATATCGCTTCGCGGGAATCCCCTGACCGAAAATGACTCGGCGATGCACCCGCTGAAAAGCCGGATGTGAAAAGATAACTCGCGCGAATGTGAAACCTTCGCTTTATCCCCGAGACGAGAGCTTTCTGGCTATTGCCTTGTTACGCTTCGTTCCGCCTGTCAAAGGCTCTTAATTTTAAATTAAGATATTTATTATTGCATTTTCATATCTTTTATATTTCTTTTTCATATTTTTCATTGAGTCTTCTGTTTTTTTTTGTGTGTTATTTGATACTATAAATGACAATTTTAACGATGAGTTAAGGTTCCAGCTG